ATAAGTACAAACTTGATATTTTCAAATCATTAGGAATTAATTAATGTTGACAACTTATACATACCTTTAGAAACATGATATATTAATATTGACAGCGTAATTAGCGAAACCCAGCACGCCATCCACACAGGTACGTTCGCTCATCAAGTACACTTACTACTTCCGTGTTGATATTTTAACAGGTTGTCAATACAACTTATTCAACAGCGCCATCATACTATCAAACCTAACCAGAGAATATCGTTGCAATCTTGTTAAAAAGGTAACAATTTCCACGCGCAGTGCCTACTAATAATAGTTAAGATATAATTTATTTTTAAACAAAAATTTTTAAAAATATGAAACTGGGGGTATTATACCAAAACATCAAAATATAGTAGATCTATATAACTCCCAAGAGCTAATTAATTTGAGGAATTTTGTAGTATAATTCTGTAAATCAACGAAAAATTTGTTTTTGTATGTTTCTGATGGATAAAAGTTATTTCATCACTTCAAATGAGCTACTGATGAGGTTATTAACATTAGGCTCTATATAAATACTGATTATTATTATTATTACTGTATTCAACATTTTAATTTTATTTAATTTTTCCTTTTTTTTTTGGCAAGCAATAGGCCTATATTAAGTTGTGTATTTTAGATTAATAAGCCCCACCCCTATTCAATGGTTAAAAAAACAAGAGGAAAAGAAAAAATTGATCGCCGAAACTGCCTCAAAGGTTATTTTCAAGTGTCTAGAACACAAAAATTTTGCACGGGGCATGACCCCAGACCCCCTAGGGTAGTGCTATCTCTATCGGCCCCCACTTTCAGCTTACCCTTCGGACATCTGTGGATCCGCCCGAGGATTGTATCTTGCTCTCCTCCACTGTCTCACTCCTCCCATTTATTTTTTAATGTAAACCTTCCCGATAATAAATTCTCTTCAACAGTGCATTCATTCTATTCTTCAAAATATATTTTGAAATATTTTTAGACCTAATTCTTGTCTATATAAATACAGTACAAGGTCTATGTCTCATATCCATATCCCCACCTAGAACAAATTATTTTTAACATAACATTAGATATTCTGGATCAAATACTTTGCCTAATTCTATCGTTAACTCCATTTCTAAGAAATCTTTTTCCACCAAACTTAAAAAACACTTTAAAATGACTAAAATATTTTTTTCGATTATTCTTCTGCAATCTTATTTTTTCTCCTTTCCCCCCCCCACCCCCCAAACTGATGTCTTGTTTGCTTTCTTTGTTTTTCTTGTTCCTGTTTTGTCCATTCATCTTCGTCCGTCTTTCTTACTCGTCCTGCTCTGTTTTCTATCTTTTTCTTTTTCCTCTTTATTTTTGTTGTTTTTTAGGCAAGCCCAGCACAAAATTTCTTATCTTCTCTGGCACCTGCCTCCTTCCTTTGTACGCTGTTTTCTTTATATTTATCTCAATAACATACTTTTTGTATCATTATGTTACAAAGGAAGTTAATAAATGTTATTTTAATGGTGAAGTTGAAGTCTATTAGGGCCTAATAGCACAGTAGCAAAACAATTGGGACCTCTTTGTTTGTACATGGTTTACAATTTAACAAGTAAAGCAGACAAGACAAAGACAATATCGTTTTTAAAAGTGTTCAATGTTTAAATGACAACTTGTATACTAAACAAGATAACAAATTTGGCCAATAATACGCCACTCCTTATTACAATTACATAAACACTTTATTATAAAAACCTTAATTATTAACAGATTATAATCAGTGATTTAAGTACTGGTGCCAATATTACATCGATCAAAATAATATTAACTGAGGCATGTCATGGCGAAATGGTTAAGTTGTCGCACAGTCCAGTATTGAGTAAACGAGCTTTAAAATATGGGAGTTCAAAAAATTGCCTAAAAATCCAAATTTGCTTTTAACTATAGATCAACAGTTTATTGTCTTATTAATCATGTGCCAAAGTATTAGTTCTGGAAGTGGTCAAAAACTGTTTATTTAATGTTATTTTGATAGTTCATTCTATTAAACAATGGATGCACAAATAACTTTGAAAGGCAATTAATCAAAATTTTGCTGATCTTGATTCTAAGACTTCTGTACATTCAATTTCCAATAACTTAGGCTTGAAATGTCCAATGTCTATGAATGACCCCTCATTTTAAAGATCACATACTCATTTATCTGAAAATACCAATAACTTGAATTTAGTATTTGCTACAACTTAGCCATTTTGCCACAACATGCCTCAACTGTTTGGATATTTTCATCAGAGTTTTTATAGTGTTAAAACAATAGATTTATCAAAATAAAACCAATCACAATATACATAGCATGATACAAACTTGGCACAGTACTAAGTTGTGTTAAACACTTAGTTTAACATTAATTATGATTTTTTTATATTCATAAATCTATTGACAAAAAACAATAATAAAACAATAATATAAATTACAAAAATATGGTACATTTCTTTATAATTATGAATACATTTTGTTTAAATATGGGTATTCTATGGAGTAAAATGTGTAGAACATAAACGAAACAGATTCTTCAAAACAGTTTTACCAAATAATAACAGCCCTTATGTGAATAATTAAAGAGTACTTTCAATTAAATACAGCAAAGATATATTTAAGGGGAAAAACATTTTTTTATCATAAATTTTGCAGACTTTCGTTACCAAAAGGAAGGCACAGTGGTATAAACTGGTAATACTATTTATGTTAAATTTATATTATTTCCTTTAACTACAATCAACAAATTAAATACAGTAATAAAATATGTTACGGCCCAATTTACTTACTCCACTTAGTAATAAATAAATATACTATAATTATGCACTCATGCATAACAAATTCTTTTACTAAAGTGATCAGCCATGCATGACCAGTCACGCATGGATGGTCCTACATGTAATTACAAGAGTCGAAGTTCTTTTTTTTTATAATAAAGATTAAAATGAGATTTTCCAGATAAAAGTATTTCTTTATTACCTTTTTGAAATTAATAATTACTGCAAAAATGTATGAAAGAATAAAAATAACAATTTTGGAGAAATTTGTAGTGAGCCTAATTTGAAAAATAAATTTTTTATTTGTATTAAAAGAATATAAATTATTAGTCTTCAAGTCCATAGAAGATGTAAAATATGCCACTGTCAACAAAAACTGGTATTAATGATAAGTTAAATTTAAATACATAACAGCTGAGCTTTAATATTTAATTTTTCAAATTTATAATATAGAAATTCAACTGAAATATTATATATTTTAGTTGAATGCTCTTAACATTGGTGATTACTTTAACACTGAGGTGTTTATTTCTTCCAAAATGAATTTTGAAGGTTTTTGTTGACAAATTAATGCACCACTTAGTTTTATAGGAAATTTAAAATAGTTCATCAAATTTCTACACACTGTGGTTTGTGATATTTCTTAATTATATTTTTTAAAAAGATATTCAAGTCTTATTAATAATTATTTCTAAATTGATGAAAAAAAAATTCTTTCAAAAAAAAAAACAAGATACTGAAAATATATTTATTTCACATGCCCAAAAAAATGAGAACACTGATAAGCTACATCTTTAACTTTAATTATTGCACAAAATCATGATGTAAATGATGTACTGTATCTGCAGTATTAATTATGACTTGCATAAAAAATTATTCAGTTTTCCTTCCTTAATGTTAATGTATTAAAGTAAATTAAGATATGTATATGACAAACAATGAAGCATGTTGTATGTTGTCTATGTAGGTATGCTGTATGTGCTGTACTTATACATGTCTGTCAAAAACTTTTATTCAATGTACTGGTAATATTGGACGAGAAATGTGTCGCCAAAACACAAAACTACTAATATTTGTGTATATGTATTTGGGGTTTCTTGTTGCTGGGGGTTCCTTAATGTTATATAGTGAGACGTATTAACAGCCTGTAGCCCAAAACTCCCACCCCTCAAACACATTATCTTAGTGGCTATGCCAATACATAAGCCTAAGTATAAATACATAAATCAAATGCCATTGAGAGCTGAAAGACTAATGCATAAGAGGTATATTAAATTAACATTTGAATTCAATTGTCATCAGAATGAAGCCTGGTCAGGTTAAATTAAAATTTTTAAATAATATATGAAAAAATATAATTGCCTCAAATCTAATGAAATTTATTAATCATAATCATTTTAATAATATATATTAATGTATTTATTAGCAGAACACTGCCAGATTAAATGACTGACTTGACAAAAAGTGTATAAAGTAAAAGTTGAAAATGTAGTGTGTATTATTTATTAATTTATCTACTATTTATTTTATAATTTATACTTGAATATGTATTATCAAGCAGAATAATGCATGTTTAGACGAAGAGGTATAACAAAAAAATTCAAACAAAAAACTGTAATAAATAGTCAATAGCCCTCTCAAACTCAGAATCAAACAGAATGGAAATCTGGTAGTTTTAAGGAGGGGTGGGGGTAGGGAACCAGGTTACAAAGAAATCTGTGTTAAATGAAGAAGGAGGTCCACATGAGTTATTTCTTATATTGTATATGTAGAGCATTGAGTAGACTCCTTAGTGAGTGTTCAAACAATACAATATTTAAAAAAAAAACAATCTGCATTATAATGAAAGCTAAGAATGTGTTGTTCTTTAATTTGTAGCAATTAGCTGATTTTATTATTTTTTTTTTTTGGTATTCGTATCGTCACTTTACTTTTTGAGGGAGTATAAATAAAGAATTATCAATTGCCTGCAATTAAAGCTCATTATTAATTTACTCCATGAGGTTTATAGTGTATATGTCTATATTTAACTCATTTAAACCTGAATATATATAACTATTTAACATGAATATTCCAAACTCTTAGCACATTATATTCAATGGATAACACATTTTGAAATCCAAGAAGTGTAAATATATGAATATGTATTATATTAATCATGAATATTCAACATCCATGAATATAATCATTTCCACCTTTACTAGCATTTTCTTTACTAGCATTTTCTTCGATTTAATCCATACCATTTTCTAATCACTTTCTGTCCATATATCTTCTCTGATAAGAATGATTTATGCATCATTTATAGATCATTGTTATTCCAATAAAAAGGCTGTAATCTTTACTGTCCTTCACTATTCTTGTGTTCTGTTTTATATTCTGTAACAGTTGGAAACGAGGTATGTTTTGTTTTTCTTTTCATCAATGTAAAGCCGGTCCATGGTATTTTAGACTAACTTGTGGATGTGTCCGTTGATGGTGTATCCACAACCTGTTGCTGATTAGTGAAGCTCAATGACTTGTAGAGGCGTTCGTATATAACGTGTGAGGAGTGAACTCCAGAAACTGATAATAGCAAAAGAATGTCACTTTGGTCAATAGCGAGCCTAGTCTGCAACTCCTCAATGCTAGCCTCGCATGTTTTCAGGTAGTCTGTTAACAAAGTACTTTTGAAGTAGATCTCTTGTAGTCGATCCTCTAGATGCATCAAACACTGAGAAAAGATAAATATATGATTTAAAAGTTAATCATGAAGCACATATAAGAAGGGATTTTTAACTCTACCAGGATAGGAAGCTTGCCGATACCGCACTGCATGCCTGAACTTTATCGCTCGCGCATGTTGTTGTCTTTATGAAAGTTCTGCACATGCTCAAAAGTATATTGAAAAAATTACGATGGGACAGATTGTATCTCTCCTGTGTTAAACTTTGTTAAACCATGGAGGTATTATTGAAAAAGAGATCACTCGAAAAAGCTACGCGCATGCAGCGCTTTGCAAATGAACCAAGAACAAAGCTGCCGCAGCGTGTGAAGAACGTTTGCGCGATGCCTTTGAAGTCTGATGTGTTCCCCGCCACCAAATGCTCAGAAGGCTTAGTTTACCAAAAAATTGAACATGGCGAAATGGAGAGCTCATTATTTTTCTCAATGCGCACTACTTACAGTCAATCACTATGGCTGCGCAATTGTTTCCACAATGAAGCTAATACATTGATCTTTCAAGAAATACCAAACATAATATTTTTTTTTTAAATAGTTTCGAATTTAATGAAACCTTTACATCAGCTTTAAAAGTATGGTATATTTAAACTTAAATTTCCATAAATTGGATAAAACTCTATAATTTTAATTTTAACAGTTAATTAAGGAGTGATGGAGAATTATAATAAACTAAGTCATTTTAGGGTTAACGGGGGTTAACTATTCGAAAATTTAACCCAAAATCAGAGTAATTTTCAGTTTTACGCTGCCTTAGCTTTATAGTCGAACCAATCAATCTTTAGACAAAATTATAATGAACACAGAAGTAATTTTAACATATTTTACAGAAAATCTGTTCCTGAAATATACAAATAATAACATACTATAATTCCGAAAAAAGATATTTAATGGGTTAAAATCAATTGCTTTATTGCACAACTGCTCTGCTGAAGCGTATAAATGCATGTCGTTACCAAGTTGTTGCTAACGAAAAAATGTGAATTATAGGGTAATACGCCGGCGCGCGATCCAAAGGCAGGGAACACATTGGTTTGTCGCTTAAAAGGGATCTGTTGCCGAGTGATCTCCTTCTCAATAATACCTCCATGGTAAAACCAAGGTAGGTCTAATCAAATATTAGCAATTGTGAGCAATATACTTTCATTTTATATAGGTAAGTAGTACATATATGGAGTAATGCACTGAATAATTAGGTTTCCATAATTGTAGTTAATTCTCCTTTTTTTACATACTTTATGCACACCGTACACAGTTTGTGATGTGCAAGCCACATAGCTATGCCACTGTATATAATCTAACATATTAATGGTTCATGTGTTATTTGGTACTTACAAAATCAGGTGCTAGCTTCATCTGCCACAGTTCTTGTATAGATTGCAAAAGATTGGAAACTAGCTTGGAGCGTGGTACAATGGACGGCGGTCTGTTCTCCACTGCAATATCACTTGAATATAACTCCACTGACCATTTATCAGTATCGGCTACGATGCACACACTGCCTGCTATTGGCTCATCCAATACAGAGGTCTGCAGAATAGTAAGTCAATCAGTCAGTTAATCAATCAATGATCCAAAGAGCCAATTAATCAAATTCATTCATTTGCAGAAAATGTTGCACCAAAACAAAAAACAGGAATACAAAAACATTTTAAACTTTATCTCAAAATGATTAGGCTCTATACTATAAAAATAAATGCAAATGGTGCAATGCAATATCTCTTAAAATTTCTTACCATTTTTAATGTTTTAATAATATATTTTAATGTTTTAATAATATACCTTAATAAATTTTTACTGTATTTTAATATTTTAATTATATAACATTAGTACAGTATTTTGGAACATTTAAAAGTCTGTTTTAACTATTTATATTTGATCGCTTAGCTTCAAAGCACATTCCTGTTATATTTACTTATATAATAGACTGAATAAAATGAATTGAATTGAATTAAATTAACTTCTACAAATATAGTTTAATCTTTTTTTCATAGTATATTTTACTTCCTAAGTTACAGTAATGTGCATTGCATTATACATTTGATGACCATTAATTCTGCAGACTGGTGAAAGAAGAACAAAAAACCCAGCGCTTTGGTGGATCGATGACCATGGAGATGAAATAAAATGGACATTTCAAGTGTGAAGAACGTTTGCGCGATGCCTTTGAAGTCTGATGTGTTCCCCGCCACCAAATGCTGAGAAGGCTTAGTTTACCAAAAAATTTAACATGGCGAAATGGAGAGCTCGTTATTTTTCTCAATGCGCACTACTTACAGTCAATCACTATGGCTGTGCAATTGTTTCCACAATGAAGCTAATGAAAGATCAATGTAATACCAAACATAATATTTTTTTTAAATAGTTTCGAATTTAATGAAACCTTTACATCAGCTTTAAAAGTATGGTATATTTAAACTTAAATTTCCATAAATTGGATAAAACTCTATAATTTTCATTTTAACAGTTAATTAAGGAGTGATGGAGAATTATAATAAACTAAGTCATTTTAGGGTTAACGGGGGGTCCTGCACACCACATAGCTATGCTACGGTATATAATCTAACATATTAATGGTTCATGTGTTATTTGGTACTTACAAAATCGGGGGCTAGCTTCATCTGCCACAGTTCTTGTATAGATTGCAAAAGATTAGAAACTAGCTTGGAGCGTGGTACAATGGACGGCGGTCTGTTCTCCACTGCAATATCACTTGAAAATAACTCCACCGACCATTTATCAGTATCGGCTACAATGCACACACTGCCTGCTATTGGCTCATCCAATACAGAGGTCTGCAGAATAGTAAGTCAATCAGTCAGTTAATCAATCAATCAATCAATGATCCAAAGAGCCAATTAACCAAATTCATTCATTTGCAGAAAATGTTGCACCAAAACAAAAAACGGGAATACAAAAACATTTTAAACTTTAGCTCAAAATGATTAGGCTCTATACTATAAAAATAAATGCAAATGGTGCAATGCAATATCTCTTAAAATTTCTTACCATTTTTAATGTTTTAATAATATATTTTAATGTTTTAATAATATACCTTAATAAATTTTTACTGTATTTTAATATTTTCATTATATACCATTAGTATAGTATTTTGGAACATTTAAAAGTCTGTTTTAACTATTTATGTTTGATCGCTTAGCTTCAAAGCACATATCTGTTATATTTGTTTATATAATAGACTGAATAAAATGAATTGAATTTAATTAAAGGTAATTACTTTTTTTCAATTAATGACCTCATCCAAAAATATATTTGAATTGATCTAATATCTTTATCAACTCAATGTAAAGATCAAATCAAAATGACTTGGTTACCTGAGTGTTCAGTTTCACATCATTTTTCACCTTTTCCTTGTCTAGGTCCAAAACACCTTGCAGGGCAAAATCTGGCATATAGTTTGGCGAGTAACCTCCAAGAAGGGAACGCCCAAAATTCTCTAAATGACTGCATTGAGGAGCAATTTGGTCATCTATACACACAGAACTGAAAGTTCACAAAAAGAAAAAAAGTAAGGTTACTTGATATCCAAATGATCAGTTCTCATCTCCCCAAGCCTCAGATTTGGGTAAGAACATTAAGGATCCTAACAATCAGCTCTCCACGACCAGAGCCTCATAAAGAGAAAAAAATGGAAAGAAAAAAAGTCCCAAATAAGTAGCCCTCCACCCCCCATATCCCCGATCCTTACTGTGTGTGTAGTGTGTGTACATATACATAATAAATAACATTTTTATAGCGCAAAAGACAGTTAGTTTCGAAGCGATTTGAATTCCCAATTTTGTAAATAATCAAAAGAAAAGATGCGTTTCGAGTTTTGTTTTGAAAATGCACACAGATATTGATGTGCGGATTACATATGGAAGACTGTTCTTTAAAAATATATAAAATACAATTTCATAAGTTAATTATTTAATGTATAACTCATTCCCTAGTCAATAACACTTAAATGCGAAGGGAATGGAGATTCAATTGGAATTTAGCCAACTTACGGACAGAAAGGAAGTTCCTCTGGATCTAAGATGTCATTATCATAGCTTCCATGTGATAGTGTGGATTGCTTGGATAAAACTGAACTATTGGACATTTCAGATATTCCACGCTTGACTAATCGCGGGTCAAATCCACAATTCTCACTATAACTTCTATGCAAATGTACCTTAGGAGTTGTTGGTGTTTCTGCTGTGAGTAAACTATTTACATCCTTAAATTTTTCAAGTGTTGGCGTTGAATTCCCAGAGGCATTCTCATTTGTTTCTCTGTCCAGTGTGGCATCATTTACACAAGCCACACCTTCAATGTGTTTAATACTATCAGTTACACAGCTACCGGCATCTTGTTGTGACAGCATATTAGAATGGTCAACCATTGGGATATCAACTTCGATTACATTTCCGCTATTTACAGCATTTGAGAGATCAGGATAGAGTTTCTCGCAAGAGACTTGAGGTATCGTTGATTTTGATAGGCTATTTGGTGGCGGCACGTAGCCAGTTTTTAGAGATTCAATAGGGTTTAAATATTTTTTATAAACACTGGTTTCAGTTCTTGGAGGAATACGACCAACAGCAACAACCCTCTCACATTTGGCCTGCAAAGGAATGTCGTCATTTGTACGAACCAGATTATTACACACAGGGTCTAAGCTATCGCCAGTGGTATCTGCACTTTGTACGGCCACTAATGTTTCAGTAAGAGAATCAGTTAGTTTACGATTAACGATTGGTGATGGCTGTTTTGAACAGTCACTGCTACTTGATTCATCCGTTGCTCCTAATATAAACCTACGTTCTTGCGCTACGCGTTTTAGCTTTGCGTTGGAATTATTCTGTTCCCATTGCACTTCAAAGGCACTTGTCGGATGATCAAAGCAATCCAAACTGTGCTCCATAGAGGACGCAATTCCTGAATCTTGTTTCTTTGCTTTCAGTGAGCAGAAATTTGACCTTCCCAAGAGAATACTAGAATCATGAAAGTCTGTTTCTAGATCATTTGACTCCGCACTTGATTGATATCCTGAACCTTCGGCTCTGCTGCTTGCATTGCTCTCATTTCCGGTTGCAACAGCGTTCAATGCTCCATTTCTGATTGGTGTTTCATCACTGGTTGACCTACCGTTTGACCATTCCACTTCTTGTTCTGAAGGCATTGTGACAAATTCTGCAACATCATCAAAACTAATGATTGGCTTATATTCCATTGGAATCTCTTCTCTGACCTCATGCTTCTCGTAAACCTCACTGCATCTAATAAAATAACTAAGAATAAACAGGAGGCGACAGACCACTTCTGACTTCTTGCCCACTACCACAGTCTTTGCGATGTTGACGGGATAGCCGATAGAACCATATAAATCTCTGACAAAACAAAAGAAAGTGTGAATTAAAATTTAATTGTATATAATCTATATCATTATTTGAGGTGTGCCATTCCAAAAACCAGCATACTGTCGCTAATTGTTAAACCGATTAATTAGCATAAAAAGGTGGCAGTATTGTAATTCTTTTAAGCTGGTTACACTGCGTGCCACGGCAACGCGACAAAGAACGCATGCGAAGACGCGGACCCAATGGATCGTCTTTTTAACGAGGATCAGTTCAGACTGCCACTGACAATCAGGAGAGGGCGTTGCGTCGTCTAATGCTCGCCGGAAGCAAATGTGGATTCGTCATGCGATGGTCGTACGACCGTCATACAATGCAGTGAGTGACCGGCGTAACTCATAACTTTAGCAATAGTAAGTCAATTCCAGTAAGTGACCCATCATTTCAAAGCATGGACAATAAAAATATATTAAAACAAGTCAACATTCATTATTTACCAATAATGTAATTATGTAATTATATAATATTATATTATATTACAATTAAATAAAAGATACATGATATTAACAGTGTTAGATAGCAACATGATGTTATAATAATATCATGAATACAGTAGCCTTTCAAAAAATGTTCTTTTTTCGGTTGTATAAAAAAAGTGTCTCTCATGAGATTCGAACCTGCAACCTCTCGCAATCCAGTTATTTAATCAATATTTGATTTGATTTATTGATGCAACAAAATAAGTACATCAATCAAAAATGCATAGAATAGCTCACCCAAGCTGAGCCCAGAGAGGATTATAAGGGTGAGACTTTGCAAGGGTGTCGAGGAAAGTAGAGGAATGCTTGTCAAGGTAAGCTCTGTTTGGCGTCACTCCAGCTGGCATCACCGTCGGTACCCAAGCAAGGTGGTGAGTAAGAACAGCAGTCAAAAGACAACTCACAAAACTGGGAAAAAAAAACATAAAATTTAATAGTCATTTTTTTTTTTATTTATAGTATGACTGCCACTCTCTTGAAATCTCCAAAAATAAGATATGTTTATTTTTCTTCCTACTTATATCAATTAAAAGCATTTGACCATCTCATTACTACAACGTTTACGTTCAACAATAACTACTTTCTCCTCTGTCTGATTGTTTTTGGTAAAATCTACTTTGCTAAATAAGAAAACAAAATTATATTCTTATTTCTATTCTGCCCTCCTCTGGTGATCTTTGAAAAATTAAGTTTGTGAAACAAGGTATAAAAAAAGTTTCACCTTAGATAGGAGGTAAAAGGGCTTACAAACAGGTTTGAAGCTTTAATGAGATTTCTGAAAGAAATCTTATTGTAGTTTGCAGCATTTTGTGATACCCATAACCAGGTAACTTCAGGAGGCAATAATAATGCAGCAGTAATATGCAGAAGCTGTTGGCGCATGGGTTTCGTTTCAGTCTTGCTAACTCGAGGTCGGGGTTTCAAACTTTCACTGTGCGTTTTGCCTGTCTTCTAGGACAAGGTGTTATACATGTTTGTCTCTCTCCACCGGAGTATAAATGGGTACCCGGAGGTTCACTACCGGGGAGGAGAAAGGCAGCGTGAAAAGGAACTGGCCTCCCTACCACACAATACCGAGGCTTAGTACGATGGGCTAACGGCTCATTCCTCTACGTGTCATAACAAATACGGGACTAGCTTTACTTTTATTACTGTACATTCTAACATGCTGAATTTGTATAATAATTTAATTAGTTAGTTTGCATAATACTTTGCTAGTTTTTTTTTTTTTATCGGGAGATCAACGCCACATCCTCACCCCCATGACAAGACAGTCTTTGGACCCATGTAAATAGATTGATCATATAGGTTTGCGCCGCACACGTCCCATATTATCCAACAAGCTGCGAAAAGATCATAGTACCAAGTATATATTCATAGACTAAGATTCGTAATTTTAACAAAATAGTTTTCAATGAAAGTCATTGCAATGTCATCAATGAAGTTTTAATGAATTGAACTGAATGAATTCGATAAGAAAATAAACAAAAGAATATATAAATGTTTATAGTATTAAATATCTTAATACTTTTTGTACTACATTCAATAAAAGGTTAAAATTCCTTATATCACCAATACCTTCTACGTTGTTGTTAATAAATAGTATTAAGTACCAGCAAAAAGCTTATCACTAAAGCGAATAATTACGGAAGCAATTAAATAGACGACAAGCCCTGATCCACGCATGCAAAAGTAATATTTCATCAGAAGTCTAAACTATACTGTGTAACCTTGTATTTCTACACCAACTTCCATAATAAAACAAGTTTTGTTTGTAAATGTAGTAAAGTATAAAAAAGAAAAAAAAATTTTTTTTACAATTACTAGAGACTTCCTCTTATATAATATAATTTGTTTTTATAATTATTAATTTGGTTTTATTTCACACACAGCAGCATGCACTCAACATCGGAAAAGTATGCGACGCAGAGACTAATGTGCAATAGGCAAGTTTTTTTTAAATTTAATTTGTTTCCATGCTCTACAATCCACAGTAATTTACTATAAACATTTTCTGCATGCGGCTGTGATTATCCATTATCATTGAAAGGTAGTCTAAACCTTGATGGCAATCAATAATTATAAAAATATTTGTCGTATTAAAGGGAAATGCTAGCTTTAATTGAAGAGGTCAAACAAACCATGCATAATTGGTAAATAATTGTATGGAATGGGGTAGAAATATCACATTTGAGGTCAAATGATGATGTAACAACTGATCAATATTAGTTTGGTTAAATCATGTAACAATATTGTAAATTTTATTGTGGATTATTAATTACTTACAAGGATGTGTTTGCCGTATTATGCTGCTCTAATTCCGTCATTAATTCCTTTAGGAAGTGGTGGCACAAATGACCTCTTTGGCTCGGATAGCTCATCAGATCCAACCAGATAGGTTTTTGAATACGAGGAGCCGTGTACAAATTAAAAATGGCATTTCGAAAGTCTTCCAGACCCTGCGTAAAATCAAATATGTCACATTATTATATAGCTATTACAACTGCCTGTATGCCTGTATTTCTTTTCTGTTTATTATTAAATCTGTTATATGTGCATTGCAGATACATTAAGTCATCTGTTCTAGTAATACCTGTGTGAAGAATTCTGGAAAAACCATTAAAAAATTCAATTTCTTATGAAATCAAATAACCTTTAACAGGAACAGAAACAATTTTTAATGGTTTACAAAATTCCTAGAAATTATTTTTAAATAAATTACCAACCAAACTTATTATTTCATGTAATGGATGAGAATGGTATAATAATAATATGCATTTGTTAACTGGCCAAGAAATATTTTCTAATTCTAATTTTTAAGTGAAAGTTAATAACATAAATACACAATATAAGCAATTCTAATATTTAATTAAACTTAACACAGACTGTAATCATAAAGTAAAAAATCTCTGATTAGAAATACATACTTCTACTAAAGGTGTTAAGTAAGTTTTTCTTTGTAGAGTCAATGCCTTCTCAACCGTTTGCTTCAACTTTTGAAAGTGTGATTCAAAAAGTGAAAAATGCGAGAAGAAGAAACGCTCAAACTTGTTGGCTTGCTCGTCATCTCTGCCATCCTTGCCAAGACCAATCACAACAGCCAATCCAATCTTGGGATTTCTTCTTCTTGCAACAGGCTACAAATCAATCAATCAATCAATTTTAAAATTCTATAGTTGCAAGTTAATCAATCAGTTAATGTATATCGATTCATCATTTCTGCAATTTTTGAGACTATGGATCTCAGTATAACCTATAAATATTAAAATTTACTTGATTTTACTCATAGGACAATATCAAAATATAATAAAAATGATCACTTTCATGACAGCAATGAACTATACAATATTATGAAATAAAATTAATTAATTCATTAATTTCCTAAATATTGTAAAGTCACATAGATTAAATATCTGATGGTTGAGCTAGGTAAAATTTAGAAAGGTATGATGAGATAGGTTCAGAGAAAACAAAATTCTGGGTTTTGTTTGGATAAATATAACTATAAATAAAATAAATATAAATAAATATGTATATATAAATATAATATAAATAATAAATATAATAAATAAATAATAATAAATAATAAATAATAATAAATAATAAATAAATAATAAAAATTTAAAAATAAATAAAATAAAATAAATAAAATAATAAAAAATAAAATAAATAAATAAATAATAATAATAATTATAATAATAAATAAATATAAATATATATAATATAAATATAAATATAACTAAATATAAATAAATATAAATATATTGGGTGCTTGTCATGCCAGAACCAACATCATTGACCAAAATAATAAAACTGACATACATATTCCAAGTCGAGTCAAGTCACATTTATTAGCCAATCAAAACAGGAAGATGGCCAAGAGACTACATAATGGCCAAAAGGCCTGTCATTGTAGACTCTTCTGACATATTAAATAATGAATAATGTAATTAACTTTGTGTCTTTATAAAATTTTCTATAATATTTTGCTTAATAAATAAATTTTTCTGTGCTCTTCTGTGTGTTTAGTCTCAAGGTTCCAAAGGTCTACATTCTCATGGGTATGTTATGTTACATTACGTTACCTTTATTTATTTCTTTTGTTTTATAATTAAAATAATTTATAAAAATGCTCATCGTACTCCTGTGCGTTGTGTCTCCATGTCATTATAAGATTTAAAATGATCAGTAAATTACAGGAATCGACTTACTATTGCTGAAGTTATGAGTAAAAGTATTACAGCTTTTCGAAACTAAAGTATAACATACTGTCACATATATAATTACTCAGTTTAACATTAAGTAACAGTATGCTGGCTTTGGGATGGAAAGCCTCATTGACTTGAGTCTTATGCAATAATAGGCCTATAATGGGAAAATCAACCACAGCCCCTCTGATCCCCAAACCTTACCAACTGAACAATGACAATTATATTTCCTGCTTTCCACAAGGTATTGCATAATACATAGTATTGATAAATTATGTGAAATTAAATTTAGTGTACAACAGTTCCCTAAAACTGAGTAATTAAGATAGTAATTTTAAAGAAAATATGCTAATAATTTGTTGGAAAAATTAATACTTCAGAAAGTTAATATAAAAAAATAATATAAATCTAGCCCTATTGTTAATTTCCAAATTGGATACATTCCAGCAGTGACTGTGGTTTATCACTAGGCAGTGCAGGAAGTCCTTCCACAGGGAAAAATGCATGCTGGCTAATGTATTATATATTAGAATTGGCAGAGTTGAAGTGCAATAATCCGAATGATCCAAGTTTTGTCATCATGGACAGGAAAATTATGTTATTAACTCGTGTCGAGTGATTCCTTACACCACTCATTCTGATCATGTGATGTGCGTGGGTTCTCAGTAATTGCATAATTAGGTCATTTAAATGATTGAGCACACAGAAAGGTTGAATATGTGTGGGTTCAATCAAGATAGAGATACACATGAGGAACTAAATCAAAGTATTTATTAAAAAAAACAAGCATGACTTGTCAGAGGCAACTAAACCAGAAACATTTTAATTCAAATTATTAAGAGAAAGTATTAAATGTGCATGGGTTCTCAAAGAGTTGCGAAGAAGGTAAGGGAAAATGAATGAACAATTTAATTATAAAATAGTTGCCAGCTTAGAGATGCAAATCAGGAATATTTAATCAAGCTAGCGAAAGCTTGTGACTAATAAAATGAGCATTAGCATTAAAAAAAATATATTATCATTTCACATTTATTAATAAATCAAATAGTTGATGGAGTATGTTCACAACAGAGCTGGATAACAAAAAGTGTCTGCAACCCCTAATAAACAACAGGAACATGATAAAAAAAAAATAAGAAAAAAATTGAGAGAAATATATATCAGTTCCAAAATGTGCAATACAAAAAACATAAAAATGTCAAAATTTAAAGTTAATAAAAAATGTATACTGGCAGATAAATAGAACAGCTGTACTATAAGAATTAAAATGAGATGAGATGCTCTATGGAGAGAAATGAAATACCTACAATTGTAGAATGAGTGCAATAATATTAACACACAAAAAAAAACAAAACTTAGGACCATTGGACTGGAATGGAGGTGTAACAACTAAGCTACACTCCATAAACATTGCAGGATTTGAACTCAGGACCCTGATAAAGAGGTACTGTAATAATTAGCTATGCCTCTCTCCATCGACATTACAGGATTTGAATCCAGACCCTAAAAATAGAGGTAAACATTTGAACTACCAAGCTACAGATCAATTTTATCAGCATTGCAGGATTTGAACATAGGACCATAGGATAAGAAGTAAGCATCTTAATAACCAAGCTACAACTCATTTTTATCAGCACTATAAGCTTTGAATCTACTGACCTCCCTTTCCATTAAACGAATTATAATCACGGTTCAAAACACTTACTTCATCCTGTGATGAACTTGGATTGTCCATTGATGACCGCCGCCGTCCAAGGTTAATGTCCATCCTCATTGTCTGGCTGCGCATCAATCTCCTTGAGAAACTATTAGACGAAGTACTGGACACACTGCTACATGGTGAGGGGAAAGGGGTATAAAAGCTACTTGATGACCCTGGAATGAAAAAAAAACACATTTAATAGATCATAATTAATAAAAGCATGACCAAATGTTATTCCATATGTTTGCTGCCTGACAGCTGAATTACAGGTTTGCAATTAAAAATGCAAAAGTTAAAATCCGTCAAATAATACTGAAAAAACACCATTAAAATCACCAAAACAAAAACTCCAATTGCTCTTTAGGTGTGAATTGCAATGAATGAAAAAAATAGGGTTTTTTTTCTATTTTATGAGTACAATTTATACTCTTTGTAAATCATAAAAATAAGATTAAGAAATCTAATAATGATATGTAATATAAACATAAAATTTAACTATAATAAGAGGTCAAAAACATTACAGAGAAACTCAATACTAAATCTTCAACCCAATATTTCAACAGTGAATGCAAACTGACTGCTTAACCACTGACTGTTTAACAAAAGCATAGCAGAATTACCAGGGATGTTGTCATATATGGTTGTACATTTAACATGAATCAGAGTTTCTTGCAGTAGCTGGTAGTTAAGTTCAAAGCACTCCATGATTAAGCGGGTGGGTAACAGGTGCTTGGAAACATACAATTACTCAAGATCAGAAACCCTAGTTTAGCCAAACCGTGGCACGCAAGGAAGCCAAATCAAGCAGAAATCCTTAGATTTAATCATTCAGATAAATTGATTTATCCTTTATAAACGTTTTAATTTATTGCACGTTTTCCCAATCTGTAAGTCATAAAATGCGGGAAAAAATTTAGCAGCTCATTTAAAAGGATCAAATACTTGGAAATGATACACAGATAAGAACCAATTTTGGTTGTTTTTCTTACTGATTTAAAAAGATGTATCTTAAATATATTATTCCTTTAACTTAAAAACTAAAATGAGACTTAATTTATAGTAAGACTTATATCATGATAAAATAAAAATTACCCCCAAATATTCAAATATTGAAACATAATTCAAAATGATCAAGAAAGACATCAACTTCCAATGCAAAATAGATTTAAAGAATTATATTTTTCGCTTTAAAAAAAAATCATTAAATTCAATGGTTCATGTAAAAAAGTACAGAAATGGTATAATTTATATTTTTTACATTAAAATTTTTAAGTAAGACGTAATAACTTAAAAATACAAAGTAACCAAATTCAAATATTAAATTTGTTGTCAAATTTCACTAGCTTTAATCAAACTTAATCCACAATGTAAAATTTTGAAGTGATTTGCCAATACGGTTGTTATCATGCCCAAATATGGGTATAACATGACATCATTATGCCCATAATGGGCAAGTCATAGATATGACATAAACAAATTTAATACTGTAGACAGAGCAAAGGACAGATTACACTTTTGTCATGAAGGTTCATCTGGTTATATTATAATATGCCGTAAATAAGTAAATAAAAGTAGTCAAACATTGGTTTATTTATAAAGAATCATGTTCTATTTATAGAAAAATCTTTAATAACAAAACTATAAATCCAAACTTAATCCCTATCAAATTTAATTTATTTTATTTATTTGACTTCACACAGGCAAAAATACAATAAAATATCAATAAAATAAAAGATTGCCGGTGACGGGAAAAAGCCAACAGATGAACAAATCACACCTCTGATAGCGGCCGATCCTGACAATTTGACAAAAACATGGTGACATGAATAAATATGGTCATGATGATAAAACATCATCACCATATATAGGCATATCAAGACTATGGGCATAAATGTTCTATTTATAGTGAAATCTTTAATAATGAAACTATAAATCCAAACTTAATCCCTATCCAGACTATCAAATTTTATTTGACAATAACATGTGACATGTCTAAATATGGTCATGATGACATCACAACATGACTATATATAGGCACAGCATGACTATATATGGGCATACAACAGTTGTTTTGTCAAAGAAAATTTGATATTCTGTAAAGAGCTTTAGAATTATAAGGCCAATGACTGACAGCTTGGAATGGGAGAAATTATGTGTTTCAACGTTACCTGACATTCCTGCAATACCGCTCTCAGCATCTTTAGTGCTGGAAGGCGAGTTTGGTATAAAAATCGGAAGGCTCTGGGCTGTACACACAAATATGAAAAAAAGCATTTTAGATTGGATTCTATCTTTTTGATATAATTTTTTAATATAATTATCAATTCACTTAATAGGAAATATTTCTGAAGATAGATTCAGTGGTATAATAATTTATTATTATTAATATTATTATTACTTCAATTTCTTTTTTCAATTGGCTGTATATAATTTTTGTGTAAAAGAGAATAGGGACAATGTGCAATATGCGCTATATATTGACATTATTACTATTAAAGAATATGATCTGTCTACCTTCTAAGCTTTGGTGTTTGGTGGAGACATCAATATTTTTTAGTGTGGTGCTGATATCCTGAAGTGATGAATTTAAACTAACATTATCTCTTTCAATACTGTCGTGATCTCTGTGGGAATTAAAAATGTAAAATGTTCAGGTAAACAAATTATAACAATAACAACATTAATAATACCAAAATATTAATTGTAATACCAGTAATAAAACTAATAATGAAAATAATAAGAATAAATTAAAAAATTAATATGTAAAATTTTAGTTCAAGTAAATGTAAACAAATACCAACAATAAAACAATAACAAAAAATTCTAATTAATAAAACCTTATTAAGCCCTATAATGAACAAAGTGCCACTCACTTTTATTACATTAATAATAATGAAAACAATCGTTTTAAAAAGTAAGTGTGTGATAATCTAACAATAAAATATCAAAACACAGTTAAGAGGCTTAGGCCAAGGTTATACATTTTATCAAAAATTATTATGTTGAAATCTAAAAATTTTTATTTTGTTTTTATTGCTTGGTTCCCTTTGTAATATCAGGCTTAGAGTTAGGGCTTCAATGCAGTCACTGTGTAATTACTATTACTACCACAGAAATCATGTGATGTGTTCTGATTCCAAAGAGTGATTGTCAATCAAACAAAGACAGGAAATATACGGTCACATGATCAAGCCCCATGAAGGCATATATTTATAAACATATATTTCATCATACTACCATACACATAATACATGGCATAAATGAGGACCATCCTAGAAGTTCGCAATCTATCTAATGTTCAAGATGGAAATGGCACCTCTAGACTAGGCCCCCTAAATTTTAAAAAATGAAAAAAAAAATGGGGAAAAGGAAAATTGCATTAAAATTTATTTTATTTTTATTTTAATATTTAATTAACTTCTCACAAAAATACAGAAGTGAAGGAGATGAGTCTACAGGTAAAGAATACCTCTACAAGGGCTCGCTCCTTACAATTGAAATACAAAAATAGGTGCCATAATGGCATAAACTTAAGATTTTATAAATCAGCCACAACCATGGTGGGGCTAACCTAATCTGGACTCTCCCTGTGTAAAATTGAATACAAGTGGGTATAATTTTCACTGACACAACTTATCGCATATTCAATTGCGATTACCAGTAAACGCAAGATTGATGATCTTGTTGAGGGTCGCTTATTACTCAGATTTCAAAGTGAAAAAAAATAGACACAGGAAAAGCATGTGATTCTCACTCATGCTTAATCTCTGAACACGTAAATGTGAGTTATTTTGCGAGTAAAAATTGATTCAAAAGCAATCTACTTTTTACAATAAAAACATAAGCTAAAAGAGGGGGTTAATGATAGCACCTTTACCTTCTTAACAATTTATTTATGATTTTCATCATAATTAATAACTTTTGATAAATTATTATTTATTATTATTATTTTCTACCCAAAGCCTTTTCAGCAAATAGATATATTTTATTACAGGGAAAAAAAAAACACACACACACAAGAGAGCAGAGAGGTTAACTGTGGACGTACACAGAATTAGAATCAACTGACTTGTCCTCACGGATATCACTTTGTTACATTCCAAGCATCAATACTACAACAAAATAAAGTTGTGGCATACATAGAGTAATATTAATAATAATACATATAAATTATGTTACAAAAATATCAGAACCTAATATACATAATGTATACAGAGCACACATTTAAAGTTAATGATAATATACTTTTACGTTTAGCATACGGATACAATACGATATAACAGAGTTAAAGAATTGTGAAGTTCTAAAAGATCACTTATGAACGAAACAACAATGATCTCTAAATTCCAACAATCACCATAATATTTTGTGTCAAAAAAGCAAATGTGTTTATAACTCCCATGAAGATTGTGATAATGGATGATAACTTAGATGATTTAAGACTATTATAAAAAAATTAATAAAATAACAAAATGATAAAGAACTTACAATTGTGAATCCTTCACTGGTTTCAGTATGAATATTCTCGTTAACATCAGCTGTGGAAGGTACCTGAGAGTATGCACTTTTAGAGTGGAGCCACGGTAATTTATTGCCACCGAACCAAACATCATCTCACCTAGCATCTTCGCATCTGACCCGGGCTTTACAAACTGTAAACATTAAAATTATATTTTTGTAAGGTGTAGAATGGTGTATATACATGGCTTCGGTAGAATTTCAAAAATAGCCATCCAGCAACTTAAGCCTGAGACAGTAGCTAATTAGTCGGCTAAACTGGTGGTAACCACTCTATGCACACTGAACCGTCGAGATCTGTTGGACTTTAATAAAAATGCTACTAGTCTAATCTGACTTGTCTTAAATTACTGTACCTGGTATTTGCCATTCTCTCCATTGTCTAGGCACGGATTGCTTGAATTCCGAGGCAATCCTGTGCTGCATTTTCCATTTGGAGTAGGAGCGTAAAATTTTGAGCGAATTGAACTACATTCATACTTCCTTCCCTGAAACATGATAATATTAATACAATACAATTAATTGAAATATTGTGAAAATTATCTTTTCTACTTCTTGTCTATTATTTATACCAATTAACATTATGATACAGAACACATTACTGTATCATGATGCTAACTATACAGTTATTACACGATACATTAAAATCGTTATTATTATGTTTTATTATAGTTTTATGATTATCAATTTAACCAATCTTGTAAAAATTATTTTTTCTCCTTGTATTTATCAAATAAATAATTTACAAACTTCATAATAGTCTAGGCTTAATACTATAATAAAGTAGTTTATGGTTTTCTTATTGTTATGTCAATAGTTAAGCTATAAACAAATGTGTGGGGTAAAAACAAAATTCAAAATTCTTAAGAGATACCAATAACAATAAAATTTAAGTATATGTATAATATACCATAAACTTTACATAATAAAATGAAAAAAATTAAAATGGCTTGGGTGATAATTGCAGGTTCAAGAAAAGGCTCTACTCAATACTTTCTACTTACTATGTGGGCCAACGATTAATTGGTGTCAATTTTCATAATGTCATACAATTGAAACTAAGTTTTCATAATGAAACTTTTAACAGGATATGTCATTACCTAGCCAAACCATGTCAAGGATGAACTAGATATAAACTTTTACTGCCTAAAAATGAACCAATAAACTTCAGGTTAACGTGACACATCTGCAACTGTGTAGATAGTTAATAATAAAGCAACCGTGTCATTCATAAACATCGTATTGAGTGGGTAGAAATTGTAAAGCACGTCACAAAGCCTACCAATCCAGGAATTGAAGTTACTGCAATGGTTTTATCCTAATTAGTGTAATTATTACCATACTGGCACGGGTATCACTAATCAAATAATAATCATGCAAAATGCTTAAAACCTGTCCAGATAATTAATAATTTGTTTGACAAAAGCATGTGACATACCCAAATATGGTCATGATAATCACATTATGACCATATATATATATATAAGAACATCATGACTATGACCATACAATGGTTTGGTTCTTTTTTTTGGTCAAAGAAAATTTGATAATCTGGACAGAATTTTACACTATAAAATAGGACTTAGTGGTTAAGATGCATTTTTTGATAGAGTCACAGGATTGAATCATCCTTGATTATTCTCATAAAAGTACATTGTAGGAAAGATATTTCTTATACTTTTGTATCAAAAAATTCTCCGTCCATCGACATTAATGATTTCAAATAATATAATCTTATTTTTGCTGTGTTAGTGCACCTATCGCCCAAAAAAAAACAAAAGAAAATATCATTATTTTTTGTTTTAATGTTTTAATTATGACTATCACTACCATGAAATAACCAAATATTAATTCTTTATTTCTTTGACACAATCAAATAAATATAAAGTGTTTATCAATGATTACTGAACTGTTTACATCGCAATCACACTCAGCATGATCACAGGATACAAACTTAAGGAGGGTGTACTTATACGCAAGCCTACAGTAACAGTGCAGTTACTGGGCCTAACTGAGCTTATACCCAGGACTAATTGTGCTTTTATTAACCTGAGTACAACAGTGCATATGACCGGGCAAAACAGTGCTTATACCCACACTGCAACTTAAAGCAATTTTTATGCAATTACCAACGCAATATTGAAACATGTGATTATTCAGTCACTTGGCACGCTGTCAATTGAATCACAAGATGTAAATATTAAACAGGATAGGACTTAGTACTTGATAGATAAGCTGTGTACATTAGTCTATGAAACAATACCCTGGTCTCTGATTGGTCAATATCATCAGTTATTGTCCTACCAAACAGCTGAAAAACTTAGATCTGACTACAAATTTCAAATCTATAACAGTATATTATTATGACCAATAATATTATGAATAGACCAGCATTTATAGAATTTGCTAAAAGTAGACTGGCCCAATTAGGCTAGGCCGAGCCGATTAGGCCAAGCCGACACAGTAAAAGTGGCCGTCCTAAATAATTGTAGGTCGTCCAAAAGACAGCCGGACGGTTCGCTGGCTAAGCCTATATTGTCAACACATGTCAACTTGCCTTATTTCCCACTTAGCGCATCGATAAATTTTGAATTGGCACAATATAAATGTTTGTTATTTTAGTGAACTAAATTTTCATGCGACTGTATGCATTATAATAAACTAAGCTATATTTGGAGGTGAGTTGATTTGGTCATGAGAAAGAACTCTGATGTTAAGTAACATAACAACCAAACAGCAGAGCTATTGTTTTTAATACACTTCAACTTTAGGAAACAATAGATTGTTATTTATAATCCCTTTCCTAGTGGTTATTCTTACTACGTCAACAAAAAAAAACCACAATTGTCAGTGGGATTGTGCCACAAAATAAAATAAACAAATCTTAAGGCTCAAACTTGCATTAAATGCATTCAAAATTAAATCAGAACTAAATATGACACTTTCCTTCAAAATTGTGGATGGTAGATTTGAACAGCATTGTAATACTAAAATATTTTGCTCATGAGCATGTTTGTAAACTCTTTTAATTTCATCTTCAAACGTTTAAATCCATCAGAAATTACCAAAAATAACTTATATTTTTTTAACATACTATAATATACCCTCGTTATTCGCTATGTATTTGAATTTAGCTGGTCTCTCCTTGAACCTTCAGAGGTGAACTGCAATAAAATATCTAAAACAGGTTGTGTTAACTGGTTGAATATATTGTAGCCACGGTTGTCACGCCGATTGTTTCATGGTAGCCACCCTTTTAAGAACATTGCTATAAAATCATGCCAAAAAAACCGAGAACTACTCCCTGGTAAAATGCGAATCTAAGAGTTATTGCACATCACACAATGATGTGTTGAGCATGTAAAGACTAACACGGGGTCACGTTGTTAACTTGCGCGTGATGACCCTACTACGACTGTTCAATTCAATTGATACAGTAACAGCAACTGAAATACATTATTTGCGATTATTTTGCTAAAGAAAGCTTCTGTGATTATGGATTCACACGAAGGATTGAGAGACTGAATTATAGTTTTTTCCATTCAGATATCTATCTATTAGTTATAAATGGCATAGCAATGTCTAAAATTACAGACTACTAGTTGCATCAAGATTAACAGACGGCCCAGATAAAATCAACCCACAATGCCTTAGACCAAGCTGCTCCAAAGTACAAGTTGATTCTCATCGGTCAGTCTTTCATTAAACATTTCTGAATGTTTTATTATTGAGACCACATTATAAAGTCAACTGTCAGACAATATAACCCAAGCATTTGGCTGACATAGTCTACTGAAATCACCAATTAACTTGCCTGGTGGGCTACAGTAGTTGGAAAAAAAACAAGTGTTACGTCAAGGCAAGGTGCTACTTACCTTGCAACATTCTTCTACTTTTTTTATGGCTTTTGAATCAAACAATAATTTTTTCCCCTTGATGTCTGTCTCTTGGTAAACCAGAAGTCGAATCTGTTTTGGGTCAAATTCAGGTGGTTTCCAACTGTAATAAAAATGTTTTTTTTTTTAAATGTATAACTATACATGACATTGTCGGACTCAACTAAAATCTTTGTATGGTATTACTGCAGAATAATATTACTATACCATTTCATTAAAATCGTTAAAAAAAAATATAACATAATAATCTGTGCAATTTATAAGCAGGCAGCTGAATATAATGAGCTGTGTCCACCACCCCACTCACACTTTTTTTCGATTCTTGAATGATAAGACCCTGGCACTATCTACCTACACACGTAAATAGTCATATGCCTAGTCACTTGCAAAAAATGTGAATAATTTCATATAATCATTTCAAAGTTTCCTATATGACCGACATGGAAACATTGAGAGGAGGCAGTTTTCATGAGTAGTAACTTATAATATCACTATGGTAAGCATCACGAAGGTAAGCATCCAACTCAATCTACCACTCCACAGGAAAGATTAGTTAAGTAGGTGTTTTAGTCCTACTGTAGCCTAGTTGGCCGGGGAAATTACAGACGATCGGGCCCACAAGCCTATCGGGCCCATGTCTAGAACTCGCGGAGGAACAATGCGACGCTCCATACATTTTGTCATTTCACAGGGTGCGGCCGAAATTGACCTAGGCAAGCCAAAATGGTTTTGGAAATTTTCTATTTTGCCAATAGACGATCGGGCCAATATTCAATTTTGCCTAAAGTCAAGACGATTGGGCCCATGAGATGATTGGGCCCAACCATGAGATGATCAGGCCCAGGACCATCGGGTCCATTTCCGAGCCGATCGAGCCCATTTTCAAAATTGGGCCCGATCGTCTCACGGGCCCGATCGTCTGTCACCCGGCCGGGGGGCCTAGGCCAGTCCACTTCTGCCTGTCTGTGGCCATAAAAAAAGCTACAGTTCTAGGCTAGGCTAGTCTAGGCGCCCTTCCTTGTAATAATATAATATAAAATTAACGTAGCAACATTCTTGGTAGCAATATTGAGTTAATAAAGTCAACAGCATAATAACAGCCAGTTAGACGTTCATAATAACATAAACTGACTTCTACTAGGCCTAGGAGAGGACTATGTATTTTGTATGCCCAGCAGCTGAGGTAGCAACACATTCACAAACACAAAACAAAAATAGCTCATCAATAAAGATTGACTTACCATTTGTATGAGGTCAAGCTTTCTGGAGATCTGTGAGGAAAAAGACAGGAACAGAAAATCATAATTTGAGTAAGTGTCACACACAATAGCACATTCATCTACAAAATAAACTTATGAATACTTACTCTGCATTAAAACCACTTTTTCTATCTCTGTGGAACATACGATGTAGTACTTTAGCCATGATACAGTAACGTGCTTACTACATATTGACAACCATTACAGTATATCTCACATCACATGATTCACATACCGAAGGGGTTTTTGTCATCACGTCACACGACCGCCGCTCTCTCAGCTCTCCATCTCTCTCTCCTCGTCGCCCTCGTATAAAACGCGCAATCTCATTGGTCAATTCACTCAGAATAAGTCATGTGCAAAACTCGTGAACTCTTGTCACCTTTTCTTGCGGCGCGACTGTTTGTTTACATGAGATCAGCACAGGGTCGATCGTGCAGCGTTTTCTATCGGCACGGTCGACCGTGTATTGTTCCAGGTTTAACTGTGTACAGTCATGGAGGTATGGTACAGTACAGTATTGGCGGGGTCGGCCGTACCGATAGAAAACAGCGCACGTTTGATAGATGGCAGGGAGGGAATTCTCACTGTTGAAATAAACAATTTTTAGGCTACGCAATCTAGCATTTGAAGTCAAACAAATTGCAAACACAGGTTTTTCTTTTTTAATCAAATATATATAATGTGGGGATGAAATTCCTGAAATCACACCTCAGTCACACCTCGGGAACATATGCAAATTAGCTAAAATATGCAAATTAGGTTGAAAATATAGGGTTCTCATATCTTGGCAACCGCTTGTCGCAGAGAGTTGTTTTTTGTTTCAAACTAATCATAACATGCATGTTTTTATTTGCTCTAATGGAACATTTGCCTCAAAAATGAACGGAAATGCTACAATTGACCTCTGACCTTATATTAACTGAATTTGCATATCTCTGTGGCTAATGTACATAGAAACCTTACTTTAGGTCTTAAATCATTCAAATGCATGTTTCTTTGCATCATATTAATAAATGGGACAAAAATCTATAATCAAACCATAGTCACGTATACTCTTCATATGCAAATTAGCTCTTAATTATGCAAATTACTTAATGAAAACATAGGAATCCCATATCTCGGCAACCGCTACTGGCAGGAAGTTGCTTTCTTTTTCAAATTATGCGGAACATAATATATGTTTCTATTCGCTCTAATAGAAAATTTGCCCTAAATATTACCGGAAATGCTACAACTCACCTTTGACCTTATACTTATTGAATTTGCATATTTCTGTGACTAATATCAGTAGACGTGATTTATGTCTCGAAATCATTAAAATGCGGAGTCGCTTTCTTTTTAAAATATTTAAATATTAATGCATGTTTATATTTGTTCTAATTGAACATTTGTTCCACACAACATCCAACATGCTAAAATTTACCCTTGACACATATTCACAGAGTTTGCATACTGTATATCTGACACTAATGTCTGTAAAAACCTAATATATTGTTCAAATTAATGTTTCTTTTCAGGAGCGAATCTAGAGATGTCCAAAAATACTAACTAGGGGGCCCCTGCAAAATGTTTGTATTCTAAAAGCCCGAAATAGCCTCTGAGGTGTTTTGGGCAATGATATTTTTCTTTTCCTTCCAAAAAGAGCCCATCCCCCACCCCCTAAATCTTTCTCTGCCTTTTTTTTTATTAGGGGATCTTAAACAATATCTTTGTAACATTTCCTGCTCCTGTATATAAAATGTACGCCCTCGACCTAATTATGCCAATTATGGATGAAAATATAGGTTTCTCATATATTGAAAACTACTGGTGTTAAGTAATTGTTTTTTTTTTTCACGCTTTCAGAAGTTTCAGTCTCTATTTGCTACAGTACTGTATATGTATTCACCGGAATATATATCATTCAGGTTTTGATTCATTATACCATATATATTAATTATTCCAGAAATCACGCTGGCCACTTGCATTCTCTATATGCAATTTACTTAAATATGCAAATTAGAAGCAGAAATAGTTGCTTTCCTTTTTTTGCAATTGTTCAGAGCATGCAGAAATGGAGTATTTCATCATTTTGGGATATATTTATTATCCACAAAATAGATATCAAATCATTATTTTTTCGAAAATATATTATTATTTGATACTCTCTGTAATAAGACTTGTGCAAAATCACTAATGCCCTTGTTTATCACTAGATTCCCGCTCTATTTTCGTGTAACTTCATGACTACCGGTCAAAAGACTTGACATTGGTCTCAAATTATTTTTAAAATATGCCTATATTTTATATAATATATTTCTAAAGTAGAGAAGTTATGACAAAAAATGATCAGAACTCAAACATATTATGACCCATGTTGCCCATAACTACCGATCATCTGGATCATTTTCAATAGTTAAGTTTAAAAATCTGATGAATCTTAAAAATCGGCGATAGATGATTTAACTTGAAATTTATGTAACATCCTTTGGTCCTATAAGGAATAAATATCACATTATAAATGAATGGCTCTTTAGAAGTATATTTTAATTTGAAAGTAATTAATGTAATTCAAAAAGGCTTGCTTGTGAAGAACGCATTGCAAACACCTGATGAAGTTCTGGCATCGACTGCCTGCGAACTTGTGTTGATTAAATTATCTTTTCAAACTTAATCTCAGAGTGCTAAACTATTAATAATTCCTTAATGTGTTATAAGAAGGCGGCAAAATATATAATTTAGTTTTAGCCTCACCTCAACATCTTACCTCAATTATAGTTTCAGAAAATTGTTATTAGGTTCATCAATGCCTATATCATCACAAAACATTTTTTATGATTAGGATAATGACCAATAATATAAGGTCAAATTTTAATATTGATATATCACACTTACTTGAAAAAAAATTATTAGGATATAAGACCCTATATTTTCATTCTTAATTTGCATTGTTTAGAGCAAATTTGCATATGTACAGTGCATGTGATTATAGATTTCTATCCTTGCTATAATATTTTTTAAAAAAAACATAATTTTAATAATTAATTTTGTAAAAGAAGTTTCTATGGACATAAGTCGCAGAGACTCCATCAGTTAAAATGAGGTCAAAGGTCAATTGTATCATTTCCGACCATTTTGTTGACAAGTTTTCTACTAAAACCAATAAAAACATAAACATTTCGTACAATTTGAAAAAGAAAGCACCTCTCTGTGACCGGCCATTACCAAGATATAACAACTCTTTATTTTCATTTCTAATTTGCATATTTTAGAGCTAATTTGCATATTAATAGTTCGCTTGACCATGGTGTGATTATAGATTTCCATCCCTTCTGTAAATTTATTGAAAATAAACATGTATTTAAATTATTTAAGATTTAAGTAAATATTCTGCGGAAAGTAGTCAGAGATATGTAATTTCGGTGACTATAAGGTCAAAGGTCACTTTTTAGCATTTCCGTTCATTTTTGTGGCAAATGTTCCATTACAGCAAATAGAAACATGCATATTCCGCACACTCTGGAAAAGAAAGCAACTCTCTGTGACCAGCCATTACCAAGATATAGGAATCCTTTATTTTCATTTCTAATTTGCATATTTTAGAGCTAATTTGCATATTAACAGTACATGTGACCATGGTGTGATTATAGATTTATATCCCTTTGATTAATATATTGCAAAGAATCATGTATTTGAATAATTTAAGACCTAACTTAAGATTCTACATACATTAGTTGCAAATTCAGCCTACCTTGTCATGCCATAAAAAAACATAACTTGTTTGTTTTGTTTATCGTGTCAACAGCAGTTCTTAAACTTATCACGAATTAACAATAAATAAATGAATTACTACTCTTTATTCGTATATTTTTTAACAAGTAAAAAAAAATACACAGGAGAGGAAAAATAGTCTTTCCATGACGTGGTTGGTAGAGTACCTAGGCCTAAACGTTTTATGATGGGGTTGCAGATAGAGAAATAACTTCGACTTGGTGATTTAAAAATGATAAATAAAAAAATTTAAAATGATAAATAATCTAGGCCTATCGTACTATATCAACAAAAGCAATCTTTTAAAAATTAATTTATAAAATTAATTAAAATATTGTTTTTTTTTAAGGAAACATCGTAACTTCCAGTCTAAAGCGCATTTGATTTTAACATTGTTTATAATTTGCGCTATATATTCTCAATTAATACTGTCTCTTATACACATCTAGATGTGTATAAGAGACAGATCTTATCAAGGTTTTGTATAAATGAAATTAAAGAAATTCCTAGTTAAGTCCCAATATACCGTAATTTATGGAATTTAAGATTGAAGTTTAACTAGGCATGAAAATTCAATATCATCATGGTAAGTCTGTAACACCATGGAGGAATTAATTTAATTTTCCTCCATGGTAACACAAGGTTTTTTAATGATTTTCTCCGAGATGGCTTAGAATTTTTTAATGATATCTGGAACATTTATTCTTTGGGTTAAGACAAAGCATTCGGTAGATTTTCATTCACTATTTGTAATTTACTTTTCAAAATATAAAGGACAAAAAAAGACTTCTAAAACATTCTAACAAACAATTAAGCCGGGCACTCACTGCTCATGACGGCCGCCAGCCGACGCGATTCTATAAAGAACGCAACACGACGACGCGCG